ACTGTGAGGAGTGGAAGGTTCTCTCTGCCCTGCAAGAGGCTGAGTAAAACTGTGTTCTTTTAAAAGCTGCAGACGAATCACTTTTAGGACCATCATCCTCTCCAGCTCATGGAGATGAGCATTAATGAGACACACCAGTCAGGAGTCCAAGGGCATCAGTTCCACACACTTAAGGACCACTTAAAAAGAACCAGGAAGACTTGTCAGGCAACGTTATTTTGAGGACAACCACGAAACCATTAAATTCCTGAGAAGAGACTTTCTGAAAAAAATAACACTGCTTTGGGTTCAAAACATTACCCTGTGAACTTCCCAAATGCAACAGCAATTTCAGATATTGCTCTGACATTTCCACCAGGATTTATGGCACGTTAACAGCCCTCATGCAAGAAGCTGATTTGACTTTCTAAGTATGAACTGTGTCACAGACGGCTCGTTCAGCCTTTAAATGCAAAGGTTCAGACTCTGCTGAGCCACCCGGGGCAAAAAAGCATTTGGGTTTTCCATGAGCACCTTGAGGTGCAGCTCCGTGGAGCAGGAGGATGGGAGCTGCAGCTGCCAGGATAAACCCTTCCCTTTTCCATGGTGCATTCCCTCACTCGTTCCCGTGCCAGCCCTGCCACGGCTCAGGGACCTGAGCAGGCAGCAAACCCAGCCAGCAGCAAAATCTTGGCCAAATCAACTCCCTCCAATTAGATTCCTGTCAGGAGAACGAGCAGCGCTGCCAGAGCAAGGAAAACACCCTGGGCTGTGGAAAAGGAAGGAATGGGATGACAGCACAGCTGGCTGGGGTGTGTTGGCACGGAGCTCAAACCTCTGCACATCTTTTCCGCTGAGTAACCTGCTGAATGTCACCACCTTTTCCCTGTGTGCCAGAGGGATCCAAAATTTAGGCCATTAATTCACTTAAAACCCACGGAGTGACTCAGGTTGCAGCAGCTCAGCCCTGAAATCCATCTCCAGATGCTCTCACAGGACTCCTGGACAAGTGGGAGGCAGCAAAGATGATTTAAGAGCAGCTTTTCTGCAGGATCACTCCCACTGGTTGTGAGCTCCAGAATGATCCCATCTTCCTCCCTCCAGTGCCATTCCTCTTTATAGGGAAGGATTTAAGGAGGTGGAGCATCTCAGGGTAACTAAGAGAGGCTTCTCAATCAAGTGTCTGATCCCTCCAGCTCTGCAGCAGCACGACAGGAGTGTGTGGGCACAGAGAAGGCTTCAAGTTCCTCCTGCTCCAATTTCCTTATGGTTTCAGCAATGTTTAGGCTGCTAAATGACACCATTTTTGGAAAACACCCGAAGGCATTAGACAGAAACACGCCCAAAAAAGGAAAACATTAGTTGTGGGAGTCTCCTCAGCAGACAGATCACCAGAGTCTGCTAAAATAAATGTCCTGAGCGTGCATGTGATTTTCCCTCTCTTCTGCAGGAGCAAGAAAACAGATAAAACTGAGAATCATCCACTACAAATTCCAGCACCACAGAAAGAGAGAAGATCTCTTCCTCTGGAGGCAAAGAGCTCCAGCCTGAGCTGGTTATGGGACCACATGGAGCTGTCTTGGGTGGTTTCTCCGGGAGCAGGGGAATGCACTGAGACAGAAGAGCTGCCAGGGTGATCACCCTGTCACCAGAAGGGTGACATTCCTGAAGAAGCTGAATGACCACTGGTGTTATTGAGCAGGGGCAGAGGCACCAATCCCATCAAGGTATCAAGAGACAGCACTGAGAAGCAATGGATGAAGTGTCAGAAGATCTGGCCCTGACTAAGAAAGCAAAATGACACAAAACTGTGCTGGACCCAAAACCTTCTGGTTTCTCCCCAAGCACGTAGAGCATTGAGCCTGTCCCATGGTTTGGGCTGGGAAAATCACAGAATCATGGAATGGGTTGGGTTGGAGGGACCTTAAGGATCATCCAGTGCCATCCCCTGCCATGGGCAGGGACACCTTCCACTAGCCCAGGTTGCTCCAAGTCCCATCCAGCCTGGCCTTGGACACTTCCAGGGATCCAGGGGCAGCCACAGCTTCTCTGGACAACCTGGGCCAGGTCTTCATCATCCTCCCAGACAGCAATTCCTTCCCAATATCCCATCTGACCCTGCCCTCTGCCACTGGGAAGCCATTCCCTGTGTCCTGTCCCTCCAGGCCTTGTCCCCAGTCCCTCTCCAGCTCTCCTGGTGCCCCTTTAGGCCCTGGAAGGGGCTTTCAGGTCTCCCTGGAGCCTTCTCTTCTCCAGCTGAACATTCCCAGCTCTCCCAGCCTGGCTCCATAGGAAAAGTGGTCCAACCCTGGGAGCAGCTCCAGAACCTCCTCTGGACTCGCTCCAGCAGGTCTGTGATCTGTAGGACACATCACAGACACTGAACTGCACCAGAAAACCCCGGGATCCCCTCCCTGCGTTATCCCGACACAATTATTCCCGTCATTCCCCGGCTGCAGGAACAGGGCTCAGCTCTCCCAGCCCAGCACTGGCTCCTGCAGTAATTAGGGTGCTCAGGAGGATGTTCCTCCCACTCCTACCCTGAAAAGCTCCGTTACCTCCACACACAAAAGTTAAAATTTAAACAGGTTCCACCCCTGTGCTGTTGGTGCAGCAGCAGCAGCACCACGGGCTCCGCTGGCTCTGGCACGAGGAAATAACTCCAAATTGTGTTTTCCTGCCCTAATATTTTGACAAACTGCTTTTTTTGTTTGTTTGTTTGTTTGTTTTCTACCGCTCCAGCACCTGGCGCTAAAAGGTCACTCTGCCTTCTGTATTATTCTTCCATTCTCAGAGAAGGTCAAAAATATAGAATATCTGCATGTTCTGTGTCTAAACATTGCTCAGCACTGAGCCACCTCTGACCCCACACACGGTGCTCGGTGCAGTTTTTTAGGGAGCTTTCAGAAATCCAGCTACCAAAACAAGCTGAAAACAACTCATTTCCCACAGGAGACAATTTGCAGCCCACCACGAGCTCACATTATTTAGTGCAGAACTGGAGAGATAACCTTGCTCTAATGTACTTCACAGGCAGAGATGAACAATGTACACGTACAGAACATTATCCAGGTGAGCTGCAGTCATGGGAGATTGTTCTGATGTGATGACTCCAGGATCTGCAGGAACTGCATCCCTTCCCTGATGTACTTTGCCACTTCCCCCCAAATTTTCAGCAGGAAGATTTAAATAAACACTTGTAAAACAGAGTTTTCTGCTCCTCCTGCTGCAAAGATTCCCCTCTTTCCAAAAATTATCCTTATTCAGAAAAGCAGGATAGAAATAATTCAGGCTTTGGGAGCAAAGGTTTTCTTACACTGTAAAGGACAAATATTTTAAGCCACTCCAAGGGAACTAATGCACAAACACCCACAAGATTGTGAACAAAGAAGTGCAACATTTCCTCCTTTCCACGTCAGTCAGTGCTCATCTCTTACCCTAAACCAGCAAGAGATTATGGATCTTAAAGTGCTGCTTTTAGGCATTGTAAAAGCTCTTTTGGAAGCTTTTCTGCCTCCCTCTGACACCCAGTATCAATGAAACCTTTACAAGTGGGTGGTTATATTTTCTTTGGCACGCCTTTCACAGAAAGCTCAGACAAATGTTGCCTCCTCGGTGCAGAAAGAACTTTTCACTCCCTAAATGCTCACACCTACACCTGCTTCTGTATTCAGGTTCCTGGTTTTGGGATAGCCAGGATAAACTGCTCCAAATTCACATCCCAAACTCCCACAGAGAAGGGGAAGATCCAGCCTTGGTGTTCTGCCACGCCAGAGGGAAAATTTCAGGAGGGTTTTTACTCCCAAGGCTTTGTCTTCTCTGGAGCAAAGTCTGCAGAACTCAGAGCTCTTAAACCTCCTGGATCACAGGTGAGGGCTGGAGGTCTCCAGTGCCAAAGCCACTCCTCATGTCTTTAAGGTCAATTGTGCCCTTCAACAGGGCCAGACACTTCAGTTCTGTGATGCCCTTTTGTTTAGAAACCCCTCAGGAACCTCTGGCTGCACATCCCCAACCAAACTTGTTGAAAGGAGGTGAAAATTTGTGTCATGGAGAAAACAGATGGAGGTTTTATTTAATAACAGTTCCTCTAGAAAGACAAACAATTGGGGTAAGGAGTCACTGGAGGTGATCAAAGGCCCAAACCTTACATTTACCAGGTATTAAATTCACACCATGCACAGAGCTGGATATTTGGGTGAGCAAAAAAACCCTCCATCGCTGCACAATCAAACAAACCTGCAGAGCAACAGCTAAATAACAGCCCTGCAGTGAAAATTCCTGTTAGGAGAGGAGGCAGAGAGCACTCTCCATCAACAGCCCAGAGGTGGAATGACCACCATAAATCTTGCCAGGCTCATTTCTTTGACCTCCTCTGTCAAATCCCAGGTGAGGCTCTACATCTGTGCGCTGTATATAAAGGCAATTCCCAAATAAATAAAGGAGGAAATATAATATTCATGTGTGAGCCTCACAGCAAGAAGGAGAGAACAGCAAGAAGGTTGTTCTTGTGACAGGTGAGAGCTCTGAGAGAGCCTCACACACCGAGGTGAAAGGCACAGCCCCAGAATACAGCCCGAGCAAGGCACAGCTTTAGTCTCTCACAGTCAAGAGTAAGAATCAAATAAGAATTTCCTGAAAACAAGTGTCTCAGCTGCCTGCAGCCCAGCCACACTGACAGGAGAAGACAAGCCATTAGAGCTGTGACACCTCATAAGACAGCGATGACACGGTAACAACAGAACAAAAATGTCACTGTTTGAAAGCTGCTGATAAATCACTCGGTAGGCAAAAGGAATCAACCTTTCCAGACACCAGAAGGATGAACCCACAGAATTATTTTTTTTTTTTTTTTTTGCTGATATTTAAGCTCTCTCTGGGAGTTTCACAATCTGTTATAAACGTGGCCACTTCCCAAAAACCAAGACAAACCCCAGCCCTGCTGTCTCCTGAGCACGGCAGGTGCTCGCACCGGTATTTTTGGTTCTAAAAGCTGAAAATGCGCCCACCTGGAGGACTCTTACCTGCAGGACATCCTGGATCTTCACCCACACGTCAACCATGTCGTAGAGCTTGATGTCCCCATCGTGCTGGCTGCAGGGAGAGGCCACTGTCTGCTGGAGGTGCCCCAGGACCACCGAGTGCGCGGCGGCCACCGCGTTGAACTTGTCGAAGAGGAGCTCCAGCAGCTCCAGCAGCAACCTGGAAACCATCAAAACAACCTCTGCTCAGCTGCCACAAGGCTCCACGGGCACAAACAGTCATCCAGCACAACAGGGCAGTGGGAAGGAGACAGAAAGAGTGTGGCTTCATGTGTCCTGTTTGGGGACAGACGCTGAGAGACTTCAAACCCTCTCTGTGGGTTCTAATTTCAGCTCAGGTTTGGTACATAAATACTCCTGAGGATCTTTCTCCTCACTCCCTCCTCTGTATCAGCACTGAAGTGCCCTACTTGGGGCTACAAGGAAGACAGAACCATTAGTAACTCCAGAGTAACTCCAGAGTAGCACCACATTGGAGATTATTGTATGACCCCAGACAGGGCTGCACACAGGGAGGGAGACAACCTGCTCTTCCCTCAGCAGAAAATAAAGAGTCTTGAGGCAATAAAAATGGACTTACCCACACAAACAGAAGGCAAGAAATTGATTATGAAGTATTAAATTAATATGGCAGCTTTTAAACAATGCAAAATATCAGAAACCTAAAATATCAAGTCTCCTCATCTGTGTCAATCAGCAAGATTTTACTACTGTATTTACTACAGTGATAATCTCATCTCAATGTCCTACATTTTACCTGCTCCTATGGCTTCCTTACTGCCCAATTACTGCAATTAATGAAGCTCAGCAAAGCCCTAAATAGTTTGTGATAAGGCAATGACATCACATTTTGACTATCTGAGAACAGGAAAATCGTGACCGAGTTCACCAGCGTTTAATGAGCAACTCGAGGAGACACATAACCCCAACAAAACGTGGAGATAACACTTCCCAAATCCATATGTTAGGCACTCCCAGCTCTGACAGACAGGCTCCATCACATTTTTCCCTGCAGCAGCTCCGGAGTCACCACATGCTCGCTGTGTGTGCCCAGCAGGAGCTGCGATTCCCGGAGCAGGACACGGGAAATCCAGGATAAACTGGAGCTGCTCCCGCTCCTTCACCACCACACTTCAGTCCTCATGGAATTATAGAACCATAGAATGGTTTGGGTTGCAAGGGACCTTAAAGATCATCCAGTTCCAACCCTGACAGCTTCCACTATCCCAGGTTGTTCCAACCTGGCCTTGGACACTTCCAGGGATCCAGAGGCAGCCACAGCTTCTCTGGACAACCTGTGCCAGGGCCTCCCCACCCTCCCAGCCAGCAATTCCTTCCCAATATCCCATCTAGCCCTGCCCTCTGGCAGTGGGAAGCCATTCCCTGTGTCCTGTCCCTCCATCCCTTGTCCCCAGTCCCTCTCTGGCTCTCCTGGAGCCCCTTTAGGCTCTGGAAGGGGGTCTCAGGTCTCCCTGGAACCTTCTCTTCTCCAAGTGAACTCTCCCAGCCTGTATCCATAGGAAAAGTGGTCCAGCCCTCTGAACTAACTTGTGGCCTTCCCTGATTCAACAAGATTCAACAAAGAGCCATTGGAACTAAGACACATTTAAACAAAACCCAAACAACTGGTGTTTGCGCTGAGTTTCTTCGTATTTAAGAAGAAGTAACAAAAGCCTCAAGAGCCTTGGCTGAAATGGCAACAAGGAACATTCTGGGAGCAAATGAATTATCTACCACTGGGAAAATTTATCACCCCAAGCTGAACTTCTACCAACATCCCACTACAAACAAGAGCTGAGTTATTTCTCCACCTCCTTGCTGCCCCAGGAAAGGACAGTTTGGCAGAGCAGAACCAGCTGGAGAGTTGGACCAATTCATTTTTATTATCCCTGGGTGAGCCTGACCTCACATTATCAACCTGTTTGTGAGCCATTATTATCACCTTGTTTATTAAGTCATTCCTAAAATAATACTATACTGAACAGAAGGATTTATTTTTGAATTCCAGTGTGTCCCTATTCCCGTGTTACAGACTGACAGAGAGGAATCCCCCCAGGCCACACTCTCGGGGTCTGTAACCACTCCCCCTTTATATTTTCCATTCTGATCCAACACTGTATTTCCACATTTCCCTGTTTTCAGATCAGCCAGCCCCTCTTCTCTTCTTGCCCTCCAACAGTCCTATAAATCTGTCGGGTCATTTTTGAGACAAGGTGACCCCGGAGGGACACGGGCGGACAAAACCCATCCCGGAACGTGGCCCACATTTTATGCAGATGGGGTTGGAGCTCCGAGTGACCCGAGCTGAGCAGGGACAGGCAGTGACAGGAGCCTGGCTCAGGCAATTTGTCACAGCCAGCCTGTGACCCCTTAGTTGAGGAGAGGGGAAATATGTGGAGAGACAGAGACACACACACCCGGAAGCAACTTCCATAGTCCGGGGAATAACGGGAATGAGCTGATGCGGAGTGACTGCTGCCACCTGAGAGGGGTCACTGGTGACAACTCAGGCATTGCAGCAGCACTGATGTCCTCTGCCTGCTCAGGGTGGTGGCATGGACATAATTCCTGCAGTTATTTTAAAGCTTTGAGACGAGGTCAAAAGCCACAAGTATATTATGAACATGGAGGGAAAAGCACAATAAATCCAAGTGATAGGATTTAGGAACAAAATTGTCCATACACCATCCCCTCTCGGGCTGGAATTTTAATGTATCCTTACAAAATGTCCATAAATCTGTCCCTCAAGCAGGTGTTCATCCAGATTACTATTAGTATTATTAGTATTATTATTCTATAGCCACATCTTCCAAAATCCAGGAGAGACCTAGAGGTTCCTGCAGCAGTCTGACTATGGATCTGTGACTTTGTCTTCCACCCAAGGTCCACATTTCCAAACATGCAGGTGTGACAAATGCCTTAATGAACCACTAACTGAGGATAAGGCAATGGCAATTCCTATATTTAAGCCCTTTTCCATAAACTTGTTCCGAGCACAGGGATCTAAAAACGTCAGAGAATTTACCCAGCCTTTGAAATGGTTCATTTTAATTAAAGCTGAGATCAGCTGCAACGAGGTGAGATGCAAGTGTAGTTTCCAAAGTCATCTTCTACCAGGGACAAGGAACAACTTGGAACCTGTTGCTGCCCTTTCTCAGGTTTTACTTCCTTTGTATCATTCCCATCTCACAGCAAGTAAATGTGTGTTAGTAAAGAGGGTTTATACTCAGAGAAAAGTATCTGAAAAGATGCTCCATCTAGTTAGGCCTGTCCTAAGTCTGTGTCCCATCTATCCATGCTGAATGTTTTAGGAAATTTAGGAATCACTTGTATCACAAAATGATTTGGGTGGGGAGGGAACTTAAAAGTTCATCTCATTCCACCCTTGCCATGGGCAGGGACACCTTCCACCATCCCAGGTTGATCCAACCTGGCCTTGGACACTTCCAGGGATCCAGGGGCAACAACAGCTTCTCTGGGAAATCCATTCCAGGGCCTCCCCACCCTCCCAGACAGCAATTCCTTCCCAATATCCCATCTAACCCTGCCCTCTGGCACTGGGAAGCCATTCCCTGTGTCCTGTCCCTCCAGCCCTCCAGGCTCCAACTTTCAAATCACTTCAAATCCCAGGGGATCTCAAGCTGCTCTTCCTGAGGGCTTTTGGTGGGAAGAGACTTCAAAGCCCATCCAGTGCCACCCCCTGCCATGGGTAGGGACACCTTCCACTATCCCAGGTTGCTCCAAGCCCTGTTCAACCTGGCCTTGGACACTTGCAGGGATGGGGATGTTGATGTGTTTCCCTCCCTTGAGTGGAGGGAAACAATCCCCCCTCTTCCCATGGGAAAAATAAGAGTCAAATTTTGGAGCAACGTGCTGTGCACTGGGAATGAGCCACAGGGAACTTGTCCAGCACAAGGCTCAAGATCCCCCAGGCCCCTCTGTCACCTTATTGGTCATTTTATTTGCCAGGAGTGGGAATTTTTATGGACACCACTGGAAGCAGAGCAGCTGAAGGCAGGCACTGAGCTCAGTGAGAGACTCAAAGCAGCCAAGCCTGAGCAGTTTTAAGGGAAAACTGAAAAAACATTTCCCTCCCCAAATTCCTGAGGTCACAGGAGCACTGACAGCCTAATGAACAGTTCAAAGCAGTTTTGGGCACTGCATCAGGCTCAGATTTGGGGTCTCACAGAGCTCTATTGAAACAGCAGGACCTTGTTGTTCAGATTTATTTTCTTGACAGGAGGAAAGTGACTGAGTTTTGATTTAAAACTGGAGTTAATTTGAGGGGTGGGAACACCCTTCCCTGCTATAATTTATTCTTTTCAATGTAAATGAATTCACCTGCTTGCTGTAAACTTCACATGTGATTTAGGTTTACAATCAGTTCTAATTATCTCTGTGTTCAGCAGGAATTCAAGACACTTTCCCAAGCTGTGGAATATGAGCATCTTAAAGGCCCACACTCCCCTACACGTGCCAAAACCCATTAAACTTTTTTGTGCCTCACTCAGCCCTCTGGGCAGGTTAATGTCATTAATACACGATCTGATCCAATTTATCCATTTCAATGGACAACCAGGAGCCGCCCAACCTCTCCAGCCTGATTCATAAAACAAGTATCAAGCAGATATTACGCTCCCTTCTGGCATCAGAAACTAAAATTGTGCCTCGTGACCCACCCAAAAAAGCTCATTTTAATCTTACTGAGTTCTCAGCCCTGTAACTCTGCAAATTCTTCACAACACGATTGTTTGCACAGCACTGCTAACGAGAGGAATTAAAAAAGAAGCCTTTATCAAGCTAATGTGGTCCTTGGGAGCGGTTCTGCACTGCAAGTATCACATACAATGAAGATGCAACGTTTTCCTTTCCCACAACAATTCCCTTCGGACGACGATCCCGACAAGGCGCCCTCCCGGAATCCCGTTTTCCCAAGAACAGTTCTGGTGGATCCTGAGGAGCAGCACAAGCACAGTTCTCAGCTGGCTCCCACACCCTGCCACCAACAGAAACGGGGCTGCAAAACCATTTAAGAGACCTGGTTTTTGTGATATAATTTTTTTTTTGGTGATATAACTTTGTGATATAATTAATTCCGCACACGATTTCAAAGCTCTGCACCTGCCTCAGCTCAACTGGGCTCTACCACACTCCAAATAACTGAGCTGATTTTTCTCTTTTCCAGTTCATATCATCAATTAGGACTTTTTTTTTTTTATGCAGCAATCCAAGTGGGTGGAATGTCCTTACCTGGGCTGGTTTTCCTGGGAAATGTTCTCCCCTCTCTGGTAACCGTTGTCAGCCACCTGAGTCGTGGACCTCTTCACAATCTGCTTGAGCTCCTGCTCCAAGCGATCCTGGATGGCTTTCACTGTCTCTGGGATTTTTTTCAGCTTGGCCAGCCCTTTGATGAGAATTCCCATGAAGACACTGCTGTTCTCCTCTGGATCCAGTTCCGTGTCTTCCTTGATTTCCAGCAGGCTCGAGTCTCGCACTGAAAAGAGATTTCAAAAGGCATCATCCAAGATTTCAAACTATTAAACCCGACACCTGAGACCATCCAGAAGCAGCATTTGAACTCCTTTGCCTTCACAGAACTCCCACCACTTGGAGCAACCAAGGAATAAACAAGGAAGCACTTGGATTCTGAGGGGAGCAGTGGTTATTTCTGTTTGCTTGGGAGCTTTTTTGTACATAAACACAGTAACCTGCACGTCTGACTGAGTTAGAAACAGAGAATGAGACAAGTCATGTTAGGAAACAGGAATCCTGGTGCAATTAAGATATTCATGAATGAGAAGCTACAACACCCCTACAAATCCCCTCAGTGTGTTTCAAGCAGCTAAAAAGCCCTAAATTTCTACCCCAAATGTTTTAATTTATAATATTCTCCAGCACCATGTCCAGGAAGCGAGGAATAAACAAGGAAACCAGCAACACTTGGATTTTGGGGGGAGGCAGAGGATATTTCTGTTTGCTTGGGGGCTTTTCTACACATAAATACAGTAACCTGAACATTTGATTGATTTAGAAACGTTCCATGATTTAAGTTATGTGTTAGTGAGGAAACAGGATTCTGGTGCAACTAAGATATTCATAAAAAAGATAGTACCACATCCCTACAAATCCCTTCAATGTGTTTCAGGCAGCTAAAAAGCCCTAAATTTCTACTCCAGCTGTTTTAACTTGTTATATCCTTCACAAGAGAGGAATTTTCATTACAAACAGTATCGAGATTAAGAGACTTCTGATTTATTCAGCAAAGTTTATGTTGCCAGAGCGACTCATTGTTTGATTTTATCTCGTTCTGCTTTATCACTTCTGCCAAGGGGTTGATGAAGTTACTCAAATCTTTTAGCAGGGCTTCTAAAAAGGAAAAAAACCAGGAAGAATTAGGGAGGGTATCATGGATATGGCCCTGAAGTAACTGGGACTGCACAGGGAGAAATCCTGTTGCTAAGAGACAAGGGCTGGGAAAGCAAGAGACACTCTGCTTGTTTAAAGTGTGTTCATTAAGCAACATTTCTTAATTTACAGATAACACCCAGCAACAACAAAAGCGTGGCTCTGTTAAAGGCTGGGTGAAACATTTAATAAATATATTTAAACACTTATGGGAAGTTAAGTGTGTCTTCAAGGCAAACTCAACTAAAAGCATCTTGGAAGCTCCACAGCCACCAGATCCTTGGATAAAAATGAAACCCCCCGACGGCTGTTCCATCTTCCTGGTGCTGAGCTTTGGGAAGGGCTGGTGGGTGACAGATGACTCCCATGGTTCCAACTCCTCAACAGATTTTTCTTTACTTCAAAACTTCTCCAAGAAGCTGAATAAATGTCAAAAGATCCAGCAGGAGGATTGAAGAAACGTGGCAGGGATGAGAAATGGCACGTCACGAGGAGCAGGAGCTGTCTGAAGCCGGGACTCTGAACAGAGGAGCAGCAGCAGCTCTGAGTTAGAGCAAGACCAAGAAAACAATGTCCCAAAGAGCCCATATGGTGCCACTTCATAAATATAATCACAATAAACAGATAACACTCCTCTCAGTGCCAGCTTACACCAATTTCAGGCTCCAACAATGCAGAGAGTTGGTTCTTTGCAGCAGAGTGATCCCAACCACGGCCCCTCTGGCTCAAACCAAACCCACTGTTCCCACACTCCTCATCCCAACCCAGAAATGCTGCCAGGGAAGAGCAAGGTGGGAATGGATCCTGGGAGGGCACCACATGGGACAGAGAATGAGAGCAGGGTTTGGGTGAGGAGATGGAGCACAGGAGGCTAGGCAGGAGCCAGCAGGGCAGGACTGAGCCCAGAAAGCCAAGCTGGGCTGATCCCACAGCGGGGGCAGCAGGGTAGGAGGGGATTCAGCCCCTCTGCCCCCTCAGGGGAGACCCCCCTGCAGAGCTGCCTCCAGCCCTGGGAACAACAGCAGGAGGACGTGGAGCTGCTGGAGAGAGTCCAGAGGAGGCCCCGGAGCTGCTCCCAGGGCTGGAGCCCCTCTGCTCTGGAGCCAGGCTGGGAGAGCTGGGAATGTTCACCTGGAGAAGAGAAGGCTCCAGGGAGAGCTGAGAGCCCCTTGCAGGGCCTAAAGGGGCTCCAGGAGAGCTGGAGAGGGACTGGGGACAAGGCATGGAGGGGCAGGACACAGGGAATGGCTTCCCAGTGCCAGAGGGCAGGGCTAGATGGGATATTGGGAAGGGTCTGGGAGGGTGGGGAGGCCCTGGCACAGGTTGCCCAGAGAAGCTGTGGCTGCCCCTGAATCCCTGGAAGTGTCCAAGGCCAGGCTGGACTGGGGTTGGAGCAACCTGGGCTAGTGGAAAGTGTCCCTGCCTGTGGCAGGGGGGGTTGGACTGGCTGGCCTTTAAAAAGATCCTTCCAATTCAAAACTATTCTGTGATTATGAGACATCAGGAAGATCAAATAGTGCTTTTTTTTCTCTCTCACACACACTCTTTTCAATTAAATCTGAACAAGTTACGAGACAAACAACTAGAAACACACAGAGTGCATTCATTTGTTTTTTTAAAAAAGCAGCAAAAAACCCCAAGGATAATATAGAGACACCTCAAACACACATAAGCAATAACACCAACTGGAAGCTAACAACTGGATGCAAACATATTCCTGCTCAAAGCTCTCCTCCATCACAGACCTTTCACCCCACGAGGCTGCAAAGCACTTTGAGTGCTGCAGACATGTCTCTACCCACCCTCTTAATGCCATTTGTTATTCCCCAAAACCCACAGCACGCCAGGCACAAACACGGAAAACGAGCTCCTTGCAACAAGAGCTGTGAAAAGAGCACAGGAAGAAAAGGCTTAACCTGTTGTTTTCTTTTAAAAACCCAAAATATCTTGTTTCTCTCGGAGTTCAGTGCAGACATTTCCCAGATTGAGCAGCTTCTCAGAGCCCCCACCATGGCTCTGCAGCTCCTTTGTGAGCGGGTTGTGAATTAGTCTTAATATCACACAACGAAAAACCCAAGAGGGAGGAAATGGAGCCGTATCCAAATGGGAGGACAGCATTTTAAGAGGAGTAAAAGCAGCAATCTTGCTGAGAACTCTGCCAGCACTCTGCATTTCCAAAAGAGCAAACTGATTTCCAACACCCCCCAAACGGTCAGGACGTGGATTTGCATCTCTGACAGACGACAGCGAGGAGAACAGCTCCATATCTGGGAGCAGCACGTGGCAGTGGAAGTTTTGTTAGATCTGGTTGTTTGATAAAACCTGTTTTCAAGTGTGTTTCCTGCCCGTTGTGCTTATTAAACAGGAATCCTGGGTGGATTTGGGGGTCTCATTCATCCGTGAGATCTGACAAGACGCCGACCCCGGGTAACCGAAGACGCTCTTTTCTCGTGTCTTCCGCGCTTCAAACGTCCTCTGCTGCCATTTAATGTCACCGAGGGGCTGTTTGACCACAAAGCTCTGGCTCGGGAATGAGCCCCTCCTGTCCCCTTCCTCTTCCAGAAAGGCATCAAAGCACACAGGCATTTATTAAGGAGCTCACCTCGAAAACTGCATCCCCACACGGGCAGAGGTGAAGGCCCTACAGATCAGCCCTCAGAAGTGAAAGCTCTGCCTGTATTTACTCTTAAAACTGGGAACATGAATTACTTTGTTATTCATTCGGATGAAGACAAAAGCAGGAGGCTGTCAGAACTTATTCCCAGCTTCAAATCCCAAAAGGAAGGAGGGGGGTCAGCAGAACAGGGACCTTGGACTGTCACGGGGCAGATTTGGGCCTGTTGAGGTGAGAGACCCTTGGGAGCCCGTCCTGAGGGGCAAAGGGGTCCAGGAAAGCTGGACATTCACCAAGGAGGAAATCCTAAAGGATAAAAACCAGGAGCTTTGGCTGGAACTCAAGGAAAAAAGGAGTTTCTGACCTTTGGAAGAAAGGACAGGCAAGCCAGGAGGAACACAAGGAGGTTGTGAAGGGAGAAAAGAAGGGCCAAAGCCTAGTCAGGACTTAATCTGGCTGTAAAGGGCAATAAAAACGTTTCTATAAATACATCAGCAACAAAAGGAGGGCCAAGGAGAATCTCCATCCTCTCTTGGATGTGGGGGAAATAGTGAGAGAAGTTCAGGAAGAGCCTGAGGTATCAAATGCCTACTTTGCCTCAGTCTTTAAAAGTAAGACCAGTTTCTGGGGGTACCCAGCGCCCTGAGCTGGAAAACAGGGATGGAGAGCAGCATGAACCCCCCACAATCCAAGGGGAATTGGCTGATCTTCCTGTCCTAACAACCTCTGAAAACCTCTTGTGAAGCAGAACACGTAAATATGGCTTCTCAAAAGCCTCTTGAGACAACAACTTAAAAGAATGATTATTTTGCCTCATTCTCTGATGGCCATTTTCAAAAAAAAATAATCACTGAATCGTTTTTTCACCTGAAAATGCACAACTTGGTGCTTAAGCAGCCAAAAGTTGTCACTAAAAAGTTGAACCATGTGCATCACTGATTCCTTCACTTCCATGGTTCCAAAGCTGGAAGGTTCCCTGACGGATCCTTGCTTTGATGATGCCCCATAAACCTTCTTTGCCAATTGGGAATTCCTTCATTTGTCCAGTTCTGTCGCTTCCCAAGAACCCAACTTGCTGCAAGAGCTGTTTTAATAGCCCTGCTCTGATCCCCCAAAAAGTCAGTGTTGGTACCTCCTTTAAGCCAAGCAGCTGAAGAAAAGGCTCTTGGGTCTTGTTTCTCATTCCAAAATTTGCTGCTGCTCGTTACTGAAGGTTTCATTAGCTGGGGGATTTTATGGGACTCCAGTAAAATTTAATGTGCTGTTTTCCATGATTTATGTCCTTCTGATTAGGCCCTTTCTGCCTTCAAACCTTCCAGAGAAAAGCACACGAGTTCCTGGTGCCCCAAAGCCATAATTTCATACTTGAAGGAACGTCACCTGCTCATTCCTGGGGTTGAATTCCTTGTTCCAACACATTCCTGGAGCCAAGGAGCAACAAATGGACAGTTACTACAGAAATGGGAACCTTAAAAGATCTGGGGCATTTTCTGCTCTGTGTAACTATGAAGCCCAGAAGAAAAGCCAAGTTTAAAATCCTCCTAACCTACACAAGCATGAAAACCAAGTCTCCAAATAAAAAAATAAATGCCCTGTGGTCAAATATCTAATGATGGGACCACACACAGGAACTAATAATGGAATTATACAGGGAGAGTAACTATGTGTTAGCTCTTCTGGCTTTCATGGCTCTAAAATCTCCTTGATTTTCCCTTTTCTTCCCCAAGATCATTTACAGTTTAGGAAAAATGCTGGAGAAAAACCACCCAGATCCTCAGGGGAGGTCCATGAGAAAAAAAATATCTTTTAAGTATTTATTGAGCATGTTTGAAGTGGAAGCAACGGACAATGTGGCACAATGGCATTTTTGGAGTCACCTTTAAAACTGGATATTTAAAGTTCTGGCTCCTGCAGGGATTTTCCAGGAGCAAGTTCCCAGCTCTCCATAAGTTTTCACCTCCACAAAAATAGCTGGTTTTTGAAGAAAGAGAGGCAGGAGCAGTAACTAGACCTGACCTTAGAACCACCACACTGATGGGATTTAGAAGTTCCATTTCTCTCCTATCACTGAGAAAAAAAAGGTCACTGAAGCAAATTATCAATTCAGCCTCAAATTTACCTATGTCATCAATAACAACATTAATTTTCACCATCACAGCTCATCTTCTGTGGGATTCCTACACGGAATTCTCCCAAATTTCTCAGGAAAGGGCACTCTTGGGCTTGCTGTGAACCAGGTGAGCACATTTTATAGTTCCAGGAAGAGCCTGGCAAAGCAGGAACCTCCACAAACGCTCTTCAGAGCACAGAAGGTTCGAGCAGAGAAATATCATTTAAAAGTGGATTTATTTCTCTGAATTGGCATGAAGGGAAAATGTTACTGGTGAAGTGCCATATCTGCAATCCTCAGGTGAGCATTACCGAGGGCTTTGTTTATTTGACGTGCAGCAGGAACAGCTTTAATTCCCTTATAAAGATTCTACAGCACAAGGCAACACCTCCTTTGGGAAGGGAAGGCAGGAAGGACTCCAAATTTTGGCATCTTTGCTGAGACAAGTCGAGTGAGTCAGTGCTTTATAATGACACCCATTAATATGCAAGGCCACTTTGTTTCATCAATAAAAAGCCAAGAAGAACTTAAGTGACTAAAGGCAGGAACAGCTTTTGTTATGCATACACATAAGTTTTAAATTCCCTGCTAGTTGTGCAGTCCTGGAAAAGGCTACTTTTAAATAAAATTACACGGAAAAAAAATCTCCATAAGTACATTGTGCACTTGAAGCAAAACCATATGCATACTTTATGCTGATCAAATGTTTTCTATTATGATCTGCAGCTTTCCCAGTCTGAGGGACACTTGCCCAGCACTTCACTGAGTGACACAGAGCAGAGTGAGGAGCCAAGGAAGAGATTTTCTGCTGTGCTGGGTGTGAAGAGGAAGAAGAGATCTGCAAAAAACCAATAATTTAAGGCAGATTTTTCAAACCAATTATTGGAGCTGAGGATGAAGCCACCAGAGCCTTTGTTTGCAGGTATTCAGCTGGTTTATGTTCAAAAGCAGCCACTGCTGTTTGCACCCAAGAACCTTCACTTAAATCACCATCACAGAATGGTTTGGGTTGGAAGGGATCTTAAAGACCATCTTGTTTCAACCCCAACACCTTCCACTATCCCAGGTTGCTCCCAGCCCCGTCCAACCTGGCTTTGGACACTTCCAGGGATGGGGCAGCCAAATCTCCAGAGATTGCCTGGGAACTGTGAGTCTTTAAAGGTGACAAGTGTCAAAAGAATTCTTTTCAGAGCATATTTAAGGTTTGTGTTACACTGGCAACCAAAAAAAACAAATCAGGAAGACACCAAAGGTATTTCCATTCTAGAAGTTGCATCTCCTGCTCCATTCCCCATCCATGAGGTGTGGCAGGAGATTCCCATCAGCTCCAGAACTTCAGACTTTTTGGGTTTTCCTACTGTACAGAGAATTGATATTTTAGGTGAAAAACAATGGCAGGCACTGCACAACTCCCTCACTGAAAAGGAAGTGTTTTAACATTTACAGGGTTGGAACCAGATGATCTTTAAGGTCCCTTCCAACCCAAACCATTTTGTTCAGAGTGGTCAGACTGGGATAGAGATTTTTGTGGTTTGTTCCCTCAGTTCCCCAAAACCATGGGATTTTTAGCAAGAAACTGAACCGAATTTCTCACTGAACACAGAGCAGAACAGGAATTCTGAAGTTTTTCCCTCAGAATTTTCATACAGTTCCTCTCTTTCCAGGTTTTTTAATGCAGTTTCCAGCCCTGAAAGGTTCCCTTGGCAGATGACAAGTGACTCCTCACAAACCTCCACTCCACAGGAAAAACAGCCCCAGGCTGTGAGACCAGCCCTGCAGGAGCAGAGCTAAACAACAAAACCCCTACAAGAGTAAAAGATAAGAATAATCAAAGAGAAGAATCTAGGAGGGAAGTGTGACAAACCCAGAAGCAAAAGGACAAAAGAATTAATAAGGATGAGAAGGGAACACTCCCTGCATTTTAGGAATACTGAAACAGTCAGGTTTTGAAAGGAAGGGGGGAAGAGACTTAGGTCAACTCTGTATTATTCATCAAGGACAACCCCACTTATTAATCTTCTGAAACAATACAAGGATTAATTCCCCACCTCTGCAGCCCTTGCAAAGCACCAATAAAACAATGTTTTTGCTCAGTGTTTGTTGTAGCAGCACAAAGATCATCACACATCCTGTGTACAGACACACCTTGAGCCAAAGCTCCCACAAGGGAAAGATTTGACCTTTTTGGCTCCAACACTGCAAAAAATAAACTTCAGTAACACCCACACAAACCTACAGGAAGTAACGGAGGGGAGACCCCCACACAAACTGAGTCAAACTCAGGATACCAAGAATGCAATCAAGGTGAGAACAGGCACAGAAAATTAAGTGTATTTAACTGAAGCTGATGGGGACAGCAGGGGGGAAAGATGATTTTCCAAAATTAAAAAGCATTTACAGCCAGTTCTGCCCCAGGACACACCATTCCCTCATGGCACTGCACAAACCCCTCCCCAGGTTTTGGTCTCAGGGCTCCCCTTCAGCAGCCAGATGTGGAGAGGGGATGATGTTCCTCCTGCTACTCCTGTAAAGTCAGCTGAAGAGCTACAAATTCATTCTGTGTATGACTTAAATACTCACTGCTGGAGCTTCCAGGAGTGCTGAACTGGGAGGTTTCCAGGAACTTCCGAGGTGTGGATAAATTAGTGACATCCATCAGAGGCACAGGAGAGGCATCTTTCACCAGGGAGCTGTGGGAGGGGAAACAATCAAAGCAAATAGTTTGCTATTATTTACAATCTTTGCTCACAACAAATAACCCATTTATTCCTTAAATTTTAGATGCTCCTGTTCCTGTGGCTTCCATCGACTTCTAATCCTCCAAACTCCTCTGTTTCCACCAGAAACCTCCAAACTTTTTCCTCTCCTTCCTGTTCTGTGCACACCCAGGTGCATCCCATCCCAAATGGACCTTCTTACTCAGGAGTAAAAGACTTTCTGCTTGGTCATTTTCCTCATAAATTCACATTGTATTAGTAGCCAGAAATGTGCCACACTGCACAATGGAAGCTGGATGGGGCAGGAGGACACAAGAAATCATTTTTAGGAGGAAAAAAATGCAGAGGGCTCCTATAATGGAGTTCAGGATGTTTGCTCAGAGGTCAAAATGCTGATGGAGACCTGCAAAAATAAGGGTATCCTGCATAAGAACCACCTGTATTCTTTATACACCCACAAAACCACACTACCAGGGATTAGCTGTGCGTTCCAAAGTTGGATAAAACCCACTTAAAACCAACACAAGAAATAATTATAAACATTTTTGCACCCTGGTCAACCAGCCAGCCCAGGGCAGCACATTAAACCAAAGCAACAAGCTGCCCTTGCTGGGAGAGTTCAAGTTATCAAATATCCAGGATGTGCAACAGGGAATGTGAAAAAAAAGACAAACCAGAATAATAGAAAGGTCCCTGCAGCAGCCACACCAAATTGCAGTTAATTAGCAGTGCCCCAGTCTGGGTACACCAAAGCTTTGTGTCTGTTTTTAATTAACAAGATGAGTAAGGAAGGGGCTGCTGACTTGCTAGCAACGCTCCTTCCAAGGAATTTCAATTTTATTCAGTCCTTTATTTCATAAATTCATTTCATGCAACTTAGTGTCTCACTTGTTCTTTTTGGGGAGGCAGATTTTTAGTCCTTCTCCTCATAAAATGTTAATTTATCTTTTCTCTGCATCTTTATCATATGTTGGTTCCCCTTTTGCTCCCCACCCCTGTTTATTCCAAACACTGTGTTTCTCTTTTCTAGGCACTGCCTTCCTTCCTTCCCTTCAACAACTCTTACCCTCAAACACAGAATCAGCAAAATTAGGAATAAACAGCCAGGTGCCCTCTACTTCAGGTGAATTCCCAGAGGTACCAAACCAGGTAAAGAAGTTTCAACATCTTCAAAACACCTTGGAAACACAACAAAGCCAAGAGAATTCAGCTCTGGCTTCAATATTGTGGCCTCCATCTATTAACCTTTAAGAGTCTGTTTAGAAACTTTATGGTTACACCTTTTAAAATTTGGATGTTTGTTAGAAAATGAGCCATTTTCCCCCATCTTCTTCCCTTTGCCTGACCTGAGCCTCACCATCA